TATGACAGGAATGTGGTATGATAGTTGGAATGGTGGTAGAGATGGGTGAATGATATCTTACCACGAGCCAGTCCTGTGCTAATCTCATCAGAGTATTTTATCAATGAGTAAAGCGACCCAGAGCAGAAAGTGATAATTGCTCAAAATTATCTGGCTAAAGATTCGCAGGGTTCTTATATGGTCACCATCTTTAAGTCTAACAGACTCTGCCCCGTCCCCATCCACCCTCTCCCAGGCATACTGGCTTACAATCTGGGCACTAAATGTATTGACTTCCTTTGTTCTGCTCGATACTTTCCTGATTAGTGTGAACAAAATCCAACAGTCAAAAAAGGGAGAATTTTTCTAGTTAGCCTTTTCAATGTTAAGGTAATTATAGATTCACCTTGAACTGCTAACCACGAGGTCAGTGGTTCCCACCCACCAGGTGCTCTGAGGGAGAAAAATGAACTGTCTACTCCCATGAAGATTTAAAGTCTCAGAAACCCACAGGGGCAGTTCTGTTCTGTCCTATGGGGCTGCTATGTGTCAGAATTGACTGGGTGGCATTTGAGTTTGGCAGATTCACACGCAGTGGTCAGAAGGAATACAGAGAGGTACCATCAGCACTTTACTCATTTTCCCTCAAAATGTTACTCAAAGGTAACATCTTGAATAATGACCTTGTATCACCACATGGGTGTGTTTCTATGCCATTTTATCATGTAGAAAATGTAAAGTCACTTCATCGTTAGCATAATAAAGATACAGAACTGTTCCAGCATGCCACAGGGACTTTTTTAATACATCGCTTCTACTGAGCATAAAATACAGAACCACAGAAATTATAACTAACCCCTAAATCCTTTATTTTCTGCCTGAATATGGCCTTGGGTAATGAAAAAAATTAGGCGAACCAAGAATTTTGCCTGGAGAAAAAGATGAATGTACATTTGGTCCAGTACTTTTCAATAGGAAAGGAATCCATATTCAATGGTCAAGGACATTTGTCAAGCAGTGCTGTAAAGAGCTGCGTTTGATAATGTACCCCAAAATTCACACCTTCAAATAACCAGGGTACTCAAATAGATTGTATTTTTCTCCCTGAGCAGGTGAGTAACTTCTCTGAGATGGAGTTACTCATCTGTAAAATATGGATAATGAAACCTACTCATGGGGCAACCTGTGAAGATGAAATGAAATCGTATCAAGAAAATATGTGGAATGGTGAAAGACAGCTACTGCTAACCCTGTTACTAATCCCACTGCTGCCAAGTCGATGGCAACTACTACTACAATTATTCTGATTGCTTCCATGAAGAGGACACAAATGATAATTAGGCTCGCATCAAGGTTGTATCTTTGAGGAGAATCTCCCAGAATATACCATATGGTCAACACTAATTTAGCCAATCTACTATATGTCCTATATCTACAGACTTACAAAATGGTCACGGATGCTCTCCATAGTAATTCAGAAAAGTTGAAAATTCTGAAACACCTCAGAGATCCTCCAAGAAAAAAAATATAATGAGCATTTTCCAAAATTTGGAGATGAAAAGAACCTTCATCCAATTTATAGATAAATTTTTTGAGACCCAGACACATAAAGTGAATTTTGAACCTGTGACTAATATTTTACTCAATGTCTTTGGCATGATTGCATAAATATATATGCATATACATTCAAAGTAATGATATATTTTCTGATGTATAATTATGAGCTATAGCTTTAATATTTGATTAACCTAGACACTTGATTCCTTAAGAAATTGGAATCAAAAGCAGCTTATTCTAATATCCTAAAGAGACAGACAAGGTGGAACAAATGGCACCCTGAACGCACAGCAATGAGTTCTAGAACAGACCCTGCTGCTAAGGGCCAATCACGTCGCCTCTTTGGGACCCATAAGCGGTTCAAGGAGTCAAGCGGCCAAGGTCTTCCGATGTCTGCGTGCCCATGTTTCTGCCGAGTGTGATGCAGCACTCAGCTGACCTTCCACATCTTCATCACGCCTTAGGAAAGTGGGAACACAAAATCACACGCAGTCTTGTGTGCAGAGTTCACTCCTCAGAGCAATTCTTTTTCTTCCTATCGCCCAATGGAGTTCATTTTTAAGGACCACCATTATGCGATGCTCTTATCTCAAATAAATCCTTCCCGACAGAAATCACTTTGCAAAGAGCAGACATTAGTGAATTTGGGGGTATTAGTGGCCATGCCTGGTAGGCTCTAGTTAAACACCACTTTTAGTATTAAATGCCAAATTCTCAGTTCTATGCACTGCCTCATTAGTTATTAATAAGGCAACATATTTGTTCAAAATTTATGATTGTTGATTTGCTCCCATCACCGTATGAAATATTAACATAGCATTTGTACTTGCAACCATTTGCAGACATTAGATTGTGGATTTGCATATTCATGAACACTCATAAATGTTTAAGGAGACAGCACAGAAAGCATGGGAGCTGTCAGCCAGCCAGTAAAAAGGCATATTTACAGCGTTAATAAGTATTTGAGTTTATAGGCCAAAATGATGAGCAACAAATTAAGTGAATTTCTGGTTTGCCTGTTGCAGAGAACTAGGGATTTTGCCATTTTCTAAAGCTTTGTAAACTTGAAATTCATTTCATAGATGCTGAATGAAGGTTTATTGTTTAGTCACAAAATGTATGACTTCAATGCAAAGAACTTCCTAAGAGTTGTCAAGCTTTTAGGGATTTCATTTCACTCTCATTGATCCACAGTTCTTATGCCTTGAGCTTCTCTTCCATAATAAAAAATGAGAAAGAAGTGAATGGATCATACACTTAGTCAAAAATATTTTCTATTTTTTCACCAGTGAGACACCTGGACAAATCAGATATCCTGGTATGACAACACGAGGCAATTCACCACACCTTCTTAGCCTGTCCTCCTATAAAAACTGGGTCAAGCCAAAGGGTAAAACCAAGAAATGCTACAGGACAACTAACAAATTCCTGACTTACAAATGATCCATTTAAACAACTGGCCACCAACATCTCACCCTATCTAGTTCTACTATAGGAAACCTCATTTCTTGCTATGCTTATGAGTGCTGCAGCTACAGCCTAGTAACTATTGGCATTTTCATGAGTCAATAATGGAGAAAATACTAAATTGCATCCCTACCTCACACCATCCACAAAAATAAATCCCAGGTGTATAAAAATCAGAAGATAATAGGAAAACCGATAAAGCTTATTTCATATTAAAAAAAATCAACCAGTCCTATGAGTCTGGGCCACGATTATTAGGTTTGGAATGTCACCTTTGTGTGACCAGATACACGAGGTAGCTCTCTTTACCCTTGTCTCAGCAGAAGTGTCTATGTGGATTGGAACTGATCCCTCTCGCGATGGTCAACTTGCTCTATCGGTCACTACTTAATCTGTTGGCATCCGCTGAACACTTGGTAGCTTTTTCAGTTGACCTAGTTCCATCTTAGATCTGGAAGGAATTTCCGATTGATATTTAGCCCAGGCAACCTCCTCAGTATGCTCGTCCTGACACCAAGACCTCTTTACCATCACTCTAGCCAGGTCCACAGGACTCTCGCCAACCAAAGCAGCAGGACCTTCCTGCCGTGACCTGGGACAGCCTGGTGGAACTTCTAGATATGTTTGAAGGTATAGGAAACAAAGTAGAGGGGTGGGGCTGCTTTTAGGACACTGATTTCAAGCCGTTTCTCTCGTTAAAAAAGGAAATTGTGAATGTTAACACTTGGGGCACTCCAATATTGAAAGTCACGGATCTGACAGGAATCCAGTCAAGGAGCTAAGGCAGTCATTGGGACAAGAAGAAAACAGAACGTGTGCTGGAAGGAAGACAGTGTTTCAAGGGGAGCCGAGTAGGTCAAGAGCCCCTGGTCAATGGGAAAAGGAAGGAAACTTGGCCACTAACTCTGGAATGTGAAACCACTGGTGACAGGTGGTGTCAGGGTCAGTGAGGTCTTAGCAGATGGTCCAAATGTGAGAAGGGAGAGGGGAGAGGAGCTCTCAGAGCCGTGGACTTGATAGAGACACCTGTAGTCCTTACTCGATGACCGACTGAGATGGGACTTCATCAAAGGGCAGAACAAAATGGAGAAACCATCTTCTCTTCCTCTCTGAGAAAGCCCGTTCCTGAACAGTTCAGCCCAAGGAGGACGGGATCGCTCATGCTCTTCCAGCAGCAAACATATGCTCTGAACCCCAGGAATGTGCTGCCGAAACCTTGAATCAAGTACCGCTGGTGCAACTTGTCATTCTTGACTCAGTGCCTCCCTTGTGTCCCTGCTCCTGCTCCCTCCGCTCCAGTCCCTTCTGCTAGCTGGCATTCTAGAAGCTCAATCCAAGTTGACACGGGAATCCTGCCTGTGGGAGAATGGGCAGAGACAGACTGTAGCCTATTCATGCATGGTGGTAGAAAGCAAAGACTTGGGGGGGGGGGCGCTTGTTAAGTGGCATAGCTAATAAAGCTCCTATTTACCTAACCCCAAATTCCAAGGAGTGCCATGGAATTGAAATACATTAGTTCATTCCTCTCCTGGCTGTGAGGTAGGGAATCAGGTTCCCTGAGCTGCATTTTAGGCATGGACAAAATAATGTGAGAAACCAAGGATCCGAGGCAGCCTGAGAGCCCGAGCTTAGTGAGTATTATTGGAGCATCTTCTGTGGTTGACAAGCAAGACGCCAAATCACAGTGTGCATTCGAATGGGAGATGCAGAGTAACAACATTTCAAAAGGTAATCTAAGGGTAAATGCCTGAACGTGATTTGACCTGGGCTTCGTACATAGAGTCAACACAGGTTGTGTGAAAACTTCATTCCTGACTTCCCATTCCAACTCCTCCAGGATCTTTGATTGAATTTCTCTCTGCCTCACTTTCTTCACCTAGAATATAGAGCTAAGAATAGAACACCTGTCCCTTTCTGGTTAAGCTCGAACTGAGTGAGGTGAGGATCGCAGACTCTCAGGTTCCCGTTTACACTGTGTAGATCATATCGCTGCAAAGATGGTCAATGTACCCCAAACCGGAAGAACTTTCCGTAAAAAGTGCGGCAAGCATCAACCTCACAAAGTGATCCAGGATAAGACAAGGATTCCCTGTACATGCCAGGAGAGGTGCTCCGATCAGAAGCAGAGTGGTTACGGTGGACAGACAAAGACAATTTTCAGGAAGAAGGCTAAAACCACAAAGAAGATCGTGCCAAGACTTGAATGTGCTGAGCCTCATTGCAGGTCCAAAAGGAGGCTGGCCACTAAGAGATGCAAGCATTTTGAACTGGGCGGTGATAAGAAGAGAAAGGGCCAAGTGATCCAGTTCTAAGCCTTGTTTTATTTTGTAAATTTGAAAAAGTTGAATCAATATTAGAATTATCTGTAATTAAATATGGTTATGTTCTTACCCCCCCTCCATAAAAATAGACCTACCTGAGGATTGTTACATGTAAAGGGCTTAAAATAGAGCCTGGTACAGTGTAAACACTCATTGATGACATTTATTGAAGGAGATTATTATCGCACTGTTGTTATCATTTAAAGAGAATGTGATTAAAAAGAAACTTGCTGACTCATTCCAGCAAGGGAGACAATACAGATTCTACCAACCTGCTTCTAAGCATAGGGGTGGTTAGTTGCGAAAGGAACAGTTCTATTTAGGAACTTGGTCTCATCAAACAGAACTGCTGAACTAGGGTAATTCTAGTTAAGATAAACTCTGCGAGGGAAAGGCCTGCCAACATCCTTTGTAAATGTGGTAACCCCTGAAGAGCAGTTGGTGGTACTAATCTGGGGCAGGAGGTCATTCAGAGTTGACTGGATCAGAGGGCACTTAACAACACAACAATCTAGAGCCAAGCCCAACATTTCACCGTAGCGCTGATGCTATGTCAGCGGGTGTCACAATTCCATGGGAAGCTCTGATAGGGAACGAGATGCTGAGAGGAAGGGAGAGGCCCAAGTCTTCCTCCCACCACCTCAGACAGCATCTCTGAACACAGCTCCTTTTGACAGGGTCCACAGACAGCCTCCCCCTTCTACCAGGTGGCCTCCATCCTTGGACTTGAGAATTACCATCCTTTGACCTGCCTCAGGTCGCAGGGGCTTCTCGCAGTTGCTCGGTTCTTTATGAGCTTGCCATTTCTGTGACCAATATCCTCCATGAAAATTCCTTCATTTTCTATGCTGGAGTAGGGTTCTGTTTCCTGTTGAAAACCTAACTTCATAGGATTGCAGATGTTAAAGGAAGATATATGAAACGTTCGAATCAATGTAAATTATTATAGCTACATTAATAAATCAGCATGTCAATATATTAATTTGCACACATTATATATGTCTGTATACATATATCTGGACCCCAGCCCTGGTGCTGTTGTGGGTTATACACTGATTGGGCTGATAGCCACAAGGTCAGAAGTTCTAAACCATGCACCTCTCCAAGGGAAAAGATGAGGCTTTCTATTCTGTAAAGAGAGTACCTGAAACCCACACGAGCAATTTGACTTTGTCCAACAGAGTCCCTATGAACCAGAATCAACTCGATCAACAGTAAGCTTTTAGTAGGGGTACAAACGGTTGAGCACCCAGCTGGTAACCCAAAGGTTGATGGTTTGAATCCACCGTGCAGCGTCACGGGAAAGGATTTGGTGATTTGCTTCCATGAAGGCTACACGGTCCGAAGGAGTTCTAGTCTCCCCAATAGGTATGATTTGAAACGAAGTCCACAGCAATGACTATCGGACAGACAGACTGTCTCTTCTTGTGAAAGAAAAAGGGAGAGGAGGAGAAAGGTAAAGAAATAATTTCTGATATAAATTTTTGAAACCGAAATACAAGTAGTTCCTGTGTGTTTTATGAATGAGATCCGTTCTAAAGTGTGTCATTCAGCCAAATTCGCCGGTAGGTCAGAACAAGCCTGCGAGGTTCTTACTTAGATTTACTTTAGCCTTTTCAGTGATTCAAAAGCCACACTTGCAGCAAGTGAAGGGAATTATGATGAAAATTTTATGGCAACTATAAATTGGTGTGACTGTTTCAAAGTGAGGGCAAATTTGCATAATATTAAAGGGCAAATAGGAGTTGCCCCTCGATCAGATATTTGTGACCTGGGGACTTCATACAATTCACAATTGTGATTTCACAAAACTATAACCATTGACACTTTGTGAAGAAAACGCATAGCTCTTGTTCTAATCCTGGGGGGAGTGGGGGTGTCTTCCCGCGCAGTGAATTGAGACTTGACCAGTCAGTCGTCACCAGTGACACCCTTGTTTATAACAAAGCACTCTGGATGTTGCGGCTGGAGTTAGTCGGTTATTCTCTCAGAACACAGGACTTTTAGGCCTCCACTCAGTGTGGTAGTGAAGTAAAACACTTTCATCTCACTGACCCATGGGTTGTGTCCCCTTGTCTGGCTCTTGCCCCTCAATAAAGCCACCTCCTCAGTTACCACAGGTTTGCAGGGTCAGCCTTGGGCAAACCATGCAGAAGATCCAACTTGACATCAGTGCCCAGGCCTGTTTATTATGACCTGCTGGTGCTTCTTCAGAGCCTACCTTTCGCTCTTCCTGCTTCGGACGTCAATCTGCTGCCTGCCAAGAGAGACTTTGAAGGGGCGAGCTCATGGAGGCTTACCCATTGGTTTGATCAGCTGCCTCCTTCCCTGGGGCTATTTACAGGCTTTCTGTTTCCAGAAGAACAACCCAAAGGGGAGAGGGCTCCAAAAGGAAATTCTAAATACCTTGGTACCTAGAAAGGAGAAGATAGTTTCGAATAGCAAATGCCCACCCACGCCATGAATAACTTAATCTTCCACATACTGAAAGTGAGACCACTTTGGCTTCTAGACGGCCACATGTGAAGCTGACACTGATCTCCCTGACCAGCCAAAAATGATTACTCTTGACCCCAGAAGAGACTTCAAACTTGAGATCCACTCTCCTACCCGCCACCCACACCCCCTACTCCTTTCATACCGTTCCCTCTTGCAAGCAAAAGCATTTTACTAGCTGAACAATTTGTAAAGCAGCAACTGGACCCATAATTGGATATTTATTTTTATGTAAATCTTGGTAAACTGAGGCAGCTGCTTCACAGAGGTGATTAAAATGTAAAAGGCAGCGCAGTGAGTAGAAGACTATAAAAGGTTGTTATTTGCAATGACCGTATTTACAATAAATGCTAAGTTTATTTAATAAATAATAATTTATATTTATGAACAGCGGTTCACAGACGAGACAATAAAAACTTCCATTTATGCTTACTGGAATCTTGTGTGTGACATACAAATCAAACCCTTCACTCAACGCTGTATTTACACTTTGAGCAGACGATGCTTTATCGGAGTAGGCAAGTCTGTTGTTTCTGAATCTCTTTTCTTTAGAATCAATGACTTTATTGATTTGATTTGAGCTAGGCTCCAAATATAGCAGAGTAATGTTAATAGCCAAAGAAAACAGGAAAATGAGAGAGCATTTATCAGCATGTTTCAGAGTCACAGGTAAAAACCATGGTGGTTGGCAATTTCTTTGTACAACACCCACTTAACATGGCCTTGAATAGGAGCCTGTTAATAGCAGAAACCAAGTCACTGCCACATATTCTACAGGTCTTGGCTTTGGGTGGCATTTTATTTTTTTAAATTTTAGCATTTTTTTTACTTGATTAAAAAATAACAATAGCCTTAACTGATGACAAAGGAAAATATTTCCTCCGGGAGCAAAAGCATTCTGTGGCTGAGCATCTATCAAAGTTTTACTGTATTCTATTGGAAGGAAAGGCTTGTTTCAGCTTGGTTTTGTCCTAATTTCACTTAAAAGACAATATTGTCAAAGTAGGTTTGCAATAGATTTTTAAAAGCACACACCATCAAAACAACTCTCTAATTTGCACGCCTGAGAAACGTTGTTTCTGCTGAGCCGCTGTGCTCAGTATTTCAATTCAGTCCAGTGATGGGCGTTGAGCACATACTATATGGGCCAGGCCCTGTGTTAGGGGCTTGCTACAGTCAATAACTGAGGGAAAAAGCATATCAAAGCCACTTGTGAAGTGGTCTGTATAGACAGTGTCTAAAAGGACCTGTGCCTATGGGCATGAAGAACGGGTGGGAATAATAGAGAAACCAAGAGGCAAATGTCTCCTGATAAGAAGTACATAGAAGGATGGGAACGTTGGTATACTTGACCAGAGCACTCCGACTTCAACAACTTTGACTTCGCATTGCGCACTTGGACTTGAAGTGAACCCTGACAGCTGAATGAGGATCTCTGGGCACCACAGGGGTGAAGCTGAGGTGCTTTAGCCTGCCGTCTACTCACCCTAGCACCCAAAACTACAACTTTTTGAAATGTTACAGCCAAATATGATATGCTATAATGAATTCCTTAGCACAGTCTATCTGTTTTTGTGGCTCAGCCATGACTCCCAACCTCAGTTCTAGCATCATTTCAATAGATACCATAAAACCTATGCTTGACATTGGGACAGAAACAAATGTGGCTTGCTTCTAATATGGCAATATGGATCCAAAGTGTCTTTGACTTGGTCCCTAGTAGCTCATATCCCCAGAAGTCATGGCTGTGTAGTTCTTTCCCACGTTGACTCTGGTTCAGCTAGTAGGATAGTAGAAAGCACAATGCCCACAGAAGATGGGTAGATGCGTGCTCATTAGGGTTGTCCTCTTAGAGCGCTGCTCTCAAATCCCAGCTGCCGAGTAAAGGAGACCAAACCGGTTGTGAGGAGAGGACCACCCCCCCAACTCCAAAAAAAAAAGAGAGGTTCTAACTTCTCAGTCACTCTTCCAAGGTTGCAGACCTGTGAGTGAATCTATCTGGATATTCTTCCCCTAGGTGCCATTGGCCGCAAGCCATACATGAGATTCTACATAAGGCCAACAGAAGAGCCACCTGCTGAGCCCCGGCCAGCCCACAGAATCATGATAGAGGAAAAAGAACAGAAAAAATTTGGAGGTAATAGAAAAGTCTTTTACAGAGTAACAGATACCCAAAATATCATGAGTCCCCCAATAATTTTTAAAATACAATAGGAGAAGAGGGAAAAATAAAAATGTAAGTCTGTACCTCTCAAGGTTTGCACCCAGTAAACAAATACAAGTATATGACATAAATATATATTTGCTGAGAGCGTTCCAGATCTTAACTATTTCCTTGGTTTATATATAACTCTTAAAATTATATCACTACTGTCCAGTATATGTCTTCACTGACAGCAAATTCCAAAACCAACCTCCGGGTGGAAAATTCACCCATGCAGATGATCAGCTGTGAAAATCTGTGCGCAACTTTGTGAAAGAGCATCCAATTTAGA